AAGAGAAGAAAGGAGAGCTGGTGCTGATTTGCTGTGTTTCTGGGATAGGGACAGAAATTAGGGTTAAGGCTGTTCTACTGATAGCATTTCTGCAGACCTTTTGGTTTGTCTGGGGCCAGGGGTGGGCAGGATGACAATATCATTGTGTAGACCTACAGGTCAGAAGGTGAAGGAACTCCCAGGAGCACTTGCGGAAAATCAGAAGCTATTTCTGTTTGAAATGGAAGATTCTATTCATCTATAGCATTGCACTGGTACCTGAGAGCTGGAACATGGTCCTGACTTACTTATTTCCATGAAAATAAATAATTTATTTGGTGAATGAAATGGAGGGGAAAAGTCAACGTAAATTATTCTAATCAAACTTAATTCTAAAAAAACCCAACTTTTGCCAAATACGGATTGTTCATAATGAAGCTAAAGGAATTTTTAATAAACTATCTGGTTTATCTTTATGCCATTTCCTTAAATTTTTCATATCTTTTCACAGGCCTTCATAAATTTAAGGCAATGACACAGTGAAAATATTAGAAAGCCTGCTTGTATGTCTTATGCAGCTGGGCTTTTATTAAAATGTCAGATGTTACTCCAGGAGATCAGACTGCTTGTTTCTCCTTTTTAGTTTTGTTCTGTAATATTTCAAAGGGGGGAAAATGACCCACTGACCAGAATTTTCATAAAAATAATTACCTTGATTTTATTCATTCACCTCTCAGTAATTTTGATAATTTCCTCTATTACATATATGCTGCAGATGTTGAACTTGAATATAAATAGTTTTAATTTTTTTCTAAGAAATGTTGTGATCTCTTTCTGCAATAGGTCAAGAAAAGTTTTAAAAATGTGGCAGTTTATGGATCAGTCTGATATTGAAACCATGCGAAGTCTGAAAGATGCTATGGCACAACATGAGTCATCCTCAGAATACAGGAAAGTGGTGAACCGGGCACTCAATATTCCAGGCTGTAAAGTCGTTCCGTTCTGTGGTGTATTTTTAAAAGAGCTTTGTGAAGTTTTGGATGGAGCATCAAGCCTCATCAGGCTCTGTCCACGATATAACTCCCAGGATGAAACATTAGAGGTAAATGAGATCATATTCTAAGAGGTTATGTTCATAGCCATCCAGTGCTTTATTTTATGTTATTTTATTTTATGTTATTTATTATTTTCTACAAAGGCATCATCTAATTAAAGTTTTCTAAACCAGCCTGTTACCGGACTGTTCAATTACATGGACCTCAATTTAATTCCTATATTTACTGTAGCAATTTAGATTTGGTTATTTATAACTAGTTCAGTATCAGAGTACTGAGAAATTAGCACTAGTGCCAAAAGATCATGCTATGGATAGAGTAAATATGTAAATCTTTAAAGGTTGAACTATTTTCTGTTAAATGCTCTGACCTTCCTCTTAACTCATTGGCAATGGGAAGGTTTTCAATGCCTTAAAAAACAGAATTCAGAAGCTCAATTAATCAAGCTGGTCCTCTGTGAAAAGAAGCAATTCTTTTGAGGTTTATAATTTTGGTTTTAAAACAAGAATGTCCCAATTACAGGAAAATATTAAGACCGAAGATTCTAAAAAGTTTTCAGAAGTTATAATTTATGTTACTTGATTTATGCAGTCATTTGGTTTGTTTAGGATTGGAAGTAGGTCCGAAATCCCATTAGAAGGTAACAGGAAATATAGGCTAAATATTCTTAATTCTTGTAAAAATGTGTCCAGTAAGAAGTAGATGATACAATATTCTATTTAATGCTATACTAATCTTTTAGATATCTCTAGTTTGTTTCAGATTATAGTGGACAAGATAATTTCTTGGAACGAGTGGGCCAGGATGGTTTAAATAATCCAGAAAAAGAATCAACAGCAAACAGTATCTTTCAAACCATTCGGAGCTGCAATCGCAGTTTGGAATCTGAAGAGGGTGAAGATAATTTTAGTGAAGGGAGTGATTCAAGAAAAAACTCTTTGAAGGACAAAAACCGGTACCAGTAGGTCTCATTTTATTGTCTATCATCACCTGTATATTTAATGGTTTTAATCTTTACATTTCCTTTTATGAAGGCTTGCTTTTAGAAATAAGGGCAACTTTAACATCTTCCTTTGTATTTGTCCTCTTTCAATTCAGAACTTTTCTCCCCTGCAGTTATGCTGAATATCTGATAGTCAAATGCTTGGAAACTCTCTGTATAGTTATATTTTCCCCCATGATGTAATTACTTCCTCTCGTGATAAGGGTAAATCCTTTTCATCTTACACATAGGGCTTTAAAAATCCACAGTTACGATTACAATTTTGATCTGAGGTGACAGGAATAGTACCAGGACATATCTGTTATCAGAGCTCAGAACATTATATTCTGCATACTTGGGCAGCGTTCTCCCCCTTCAAAATAAAGGTTATTTATTATCCTTCAAAAGTCCTCTTCTTTTAAGGACATGTTTGTTTGAGGTTTTTAAATTATGTCCAGAAAACATCCGTAAGTCAGTACATGTTTTGAATTTTCAGGTTGCTGTAGTCCTGCTATTTTGCATAGAAGTTTACTTAATTGTGTCCCATTAAAAAAGCCCAGTGTTCAGTAATCTCAGATTTTTCACTTGGAAGACCTAGTATATTGTGTACTATTCACTAACAAGAAATACAGTAAATGCAGAGTTTAAGACATCATTGGTCTTTTAGGATGTTGCTTTGCAATGAAGTTGCAGCCCATATAGACATAGGTGAGTCAGCTTTAAACTTAACTAAGCGTGTTAGAGTAACTTCACATTAACTGTACTGTTCACAGGTGAAACACTGTATGATAACAGGAGGGCTTGCATTAAAGAGCATGCATAGGTCACTGCTTGAGTTTTTGTTGATAATGTGTATCAGAAATATCCATATATTCAGAAGTATTCAACATATTCCAGCTACATACACATAAAATCTAATAAGTGATTGCCTGAGAAGGAACTACCATCATCCTGTTTTAAATGCATTTATTTCATTAACATGCAATTCTAAATTTCATTTCAAATAAATAATCGTTATTTCCTGAAGGAATGGTTTCTAATAGAATTATTCACATCTGGCTTTAGTTGCTTCTGGGAAGTGGAGCAGTAGATTAAGCCAAGAAATACAGACCTACTTCTCTGTCCATTTATGTTGTTTCTTGACTTCAAATATTTTCTTCCAACAGTTATATTTTTGTTAATTTATATGCTTTAAAATCAGCTTGCAACTCACAGTTCAAATGGAGAATAAGATAGGGAAATCAACACTTCATGTGAGTGAAAAAAAGCAGAATTTAAATATGAAAGAACAGTATGGAGAAAATGAAGTCCCCTTGTTTATGAAATCAGTTCTTGGTAAATTAGTTATTTATACTTTATATTTAATTATAATAGAAATATACTTTATTATATTCAAATATAATAATACTGATTTAAATATAAATAACAAATATAAAATATAATTTCAATATCAATATGATATTTAAATATAATACAATCATAGAGTGGTTTGGGTTGGAAGGGATCTTAAGGATGATCTAGTTCCAACTGCCCTGCCGTGGGCAGGGACACCTTCTACTAGACCAGTTTGCTCAAAACCTCATCCAATAAAATCTAGTAAGTTACACTCTAAATAAAATGGGGGTTAAATGCAAAAAAAAAAAAAAAAAAACAAACCACAAACAAGCAAACAAAACCAAACAACACTGAAATAATTTTTTAAAATTAAATTAGCAAAACTGCAGATAGGTAAAGTTATGTTTCCTTATTCAGGCTACTGACTACTCAGTTATTAGTATCTGTAGTTCTGGAGCAGTAAGTAGTGATTTGAACAGGATAAGCACTTGTAGAAAAATGCTTCTGAAAATATTAATTTAGCCCAAGTACCTCATAGTTTGGAAATCCCTTATTCATCTGCCATCACTTTCCTGAGCATTCAGAGAGCTGGATGAAACACAGGAGCAAATTGCTGCAGAGGCAGAAGGGCTATGTTCTGTTGCCCCTGTTGTATGGAGGCTGCAATGTTTGGTTTATTTTTAACACTATGAACAACTAAAGACTGCTAAGGAAGAATTTCAGGTCTCTTTCTTGTGAAACCTGTTATATTTGCCTACAGTATTATAAAATCCAATGATTTGATATATACTACCTGATAGCTGTAGTATTGTGGTCATAAAGGCAGAAAATTACACTGTATAACATATCTCATTACTTTAAAATTGCAAGGAAGATTTTAAATTAATTTGCCCTTTACTAATTTAGGTTAATATTGTGAAACATGAACCCAGCAAAGCCAGTAGGTTAGTTTGATTTGGAGAAAATGAAAAGCATCTACTAAAATCAGTGGATAGTGGGTATAATTACTTTCCTAGTTGTGTTAGCAAATAAGCTGTCACTCTGTAATCAGTGAATCACCCTGAATTTTGGTACATACCAGATAAATACCAAACTTTAATCTTTATTGGTACTCCACCTTGACAATTCTCAAATAAATAAAGGTAGGCAGGAAAAGAAAAAAAAAAATTCAAGTTTGAAAGAGTTTTTATAGACTTGTTAGTCAAATCATAGAATCATAGAATGTCTGGGCTGGAAGGGACCTCCAAAGGCCAGCTAGTCCGACCACCCTGCCATAAGCAGGGACATCTCCAACTAGATCAAGCTACTCAGAGCTTCATCCAGCCTGATCTTTAATGTCTCCAGGGATGGGGCCTCCACCACCAAATGACCTATTAAGATACTCTAATGCATCAGTTTATTAGCATCATCTCTTCACTTTTAAGCTTTCCTAAATACAATAAAATAGTAATTTTAAAATAATAGGTGAAACCTCATTTTTTCCTTTTTGTATCCCATGCTGTTTTCCCCTCTAAAACTGTTTTAATGTTTCCTTTATCCTTTCTTTTCATTTCCTTTCATCTTAGTGCAGCACATGTAACAAAAGCTTCTGATTCAAACCAAATTCTGTAAGTGTGTTTTCAGTAATGGGTAACTGTCCCCTCTGGCAGCTGGTGTCAGAGGTTATGTTTCTGTATAGGATTGTGTGTGTGTGTGCTTGGCTTACCTGCTTTCTGTACATTTTAATCTGCAACATGCCAGTCCTATCAAATGTGAAATAAGGCATAAACAAAGCTCAGCCCTATCTGTGTCCAACATACTGGACTCCTCCAGCCATGCACATCTAGTCTTAGAACACATTTTCTAGCATTTTTGCAGATATTTGATTCTTTTAAGGGGGTGAGGGAGGGAGAGATGCTTTAGTTTAATTTGAAAGTCTTGATCTTTTATGATACAGGTAAATATTTTAATGTACATGTGTCTGGTAAGACAGTTTATACCAGCTCAGTTACAATTCATGAACTTCATTTTTGAGAAAATATCTTAAGGATATAGAGCTACAGTTAAGCCTGATACAGTTATTCTGTCTTTATCAGTCCCTTCACCACAAGCAATAAATCCTCAGTCTGTTGGCCACTTTTTGCTAAATTTGGCAGAGGTAGGCATCTCACTGCTTAATAAATTCATAGAGGAACCATTAGAACTGATATATTGAATAAGGGAAAAATTCGAAGAATATGCAGAGGAAGCTGGTTTGGATTTTATTGGCCGGATATCCTTAGAAAAACGTGCTTCATTAGTTCTGCTGTACACAGAACAGTTTGCTCTTTTTTACGTTCATTTAAGCAGTGTCAAAATGTTGAACATTTGTGCATTCATAAATGTTAGAAGGTTCTGCAGGGAAAAAAAAAATATTTAAACTGCCTTATTGATTAGTTCAGTGTTGTTGCTCTGTATCTGCTGTATCTGATTATGGGAAAATATTTCAAAAATATTTGTTACTGTACAGAAGTTTCATGTTAATATTTTGTTGAAGTGAAACTAAATTTTCTGATGGGAGGTACCTGATAAAATTATTGCAGCATTCTTATGAGGAAAGTATGTATTGTAACAACTATTTTACAAGTGTTAATCTGAGAATTATATAGTGTGAATCAATATAAATCAATAACAGAACAGGGTTTAGAAGTCCTGTCTTCAATCCACTAGCAGTTTCTGCATAGGGTACTTGATATTTCAGCTGAAGCAATCTTATGCTGGGGATTTAGAAAGTGGAATCACTTGTCTTTAAGATCCAAGCAAACTTTTTTATTGTTAAAGTTTGGAAACTTCTAAGAAAATATAATTATACTGTTACAGAAGTTATATTAATTGCAGCAGCATCTATTAAATAATTTAAAATTACAATAACATAAATTGTAATACTGTAAAAACTACAGATGTTTCTGTAATTCCAATTATATTGTGACAATAGTACTCTTCTTATTTGAACTACAGCAGAAAAAAATTTCATCGATCATAGCATAAATCAGCACATGTATCACTAAATATAAGTCTCTCATCTTTGTCCACATACAGATTTATAATAGGAGATCTTTCAGATTCTGAAAGTGATATATTTGAGCAGTTGAAGGAGTGGGACACAAAATCAACAGAAGAGCAACAAAAGGCTTTCTGCCATGGTATAGAACTCATTCCCTGGTACGTGTTATCTATCAGGGCTGATGTCCATCAGTTCATGCAACAAGGGGCAACTGTCATTCATTATGAGCAGGAGACACATCTCTCAGCACGCTGTTTCCTTCAACTTCAGCCTGACAACAGTACTTTGACTTGGACAAAACCCACAACAGCTTGCCCTGCAAATGCTAAGGCAAAACTGAGTGTGCTGGGTAATACTGCTGAGCCTGGGAAATACCAGTTTCTTGGTAACACTGGACTGATGGAAGGTTTTTTGGACTTGTTTTCAGCCAAGGCTGTATATATGGGACACTCTGGCATTGATATGCACACTGTGTGTGTTCAAAATAAACTTTGTAATATGTCCCTTGAAGAAAATGGTATAACACTACTTTATGGACTTCAGACTACTGATAATAAGTTGCTGCACTTTGTCGCTCCAAAATATACTGCCAGAATGCTGTATGATGGATTGCTGGAATTGACTAAAGCTGTAAGAAAAATGAGGAGATTCCCTGATCAAAGACTACAGTGGCTACGGAAACAGTATGTCAGCCTTTACCAGGTAAAAGATGCTGTGATTTTGTATAAGAAAAGTTCAAAGATGTTAACGTAGTGTGATTAGTTTCTATTATAGGTAAGCTAAGATTAAAGATGAGCACCAAATCTCCAACTTTGTAACACAGCTTAAGTCAATAAGATCCAATTCTCCACATGATATCCTGTCAAACCTTGCATGTTTTTTCAAAACACATCTTTTTCTATTATGAAGCTCTTCGTACATTTCAAGTTTTGAAGTAACATATTTTATTAAAGAAAAAGCAATGACTGTACTTGAAAAGGGTGCTGAAACACTGAGTGATGAGAGTTAAGGCCAAAAAAACCTCACAAAATAGCAAACAAAAGAGCCCTTTGGTATTCATGCAGGAATTAAAAGTTGCCCCCCTCTTGATGTTTTGTATTTCATTGGTTCCTTAGAGATGTCTATATTATTGCTTTAGACAATGTGTCTGCTCTTATTTTCCATGTTTTGCTAACGCTGAGAATTTTTGTAGGAGGATGGAAGATTTGAAGGTCCGACCTTGGCTCAGGCTGTTGAGCTGTTTGGAGGCAGACGATGGAGCGCAAGAAACACAAACACAGGAACTCTCACCAAAAGCAGTGAGAAACCTAGTGTACAGAGAAACAACACTCTGGGAATAAACACAGCTAAGAAAAAGAAGAAAGTACTCATGAGGGTAGAATATTTTTTTATTAATGTATTTTGTTGATTATCTGGCTGATTTGTTTCCTCCCTGCAGTTACTGTGTAGCTAACTGTATTCTGAACTGGAGGAAAGAAATTAGGTGTCAATTTTAAAACTGTTTATTGCAGTTTCACATTTTGGGCTTACTATTTTCCAATAGTTTGGGTTTCTTTTCTCATACTTGAAGCATTCTCAGGACATGTGGGCACTGGGGCTAGCAGAAGAGGACACAATCTTGTTGAGACCTTTAGGTGCTACCTCAGTATAAAGGTAAAATATTGGTAATAATAGAAATATTAATATGCAAAGTGCTGTTTTGAGGCTGGTGTCAGTTTATTTGCTGCTTTTTGGTTTTGTGTTCCCAAAACCATGACTATACTTATTCTACCTCAGTTAGCACACAGTTTTGTCCTATTTGGGTGACAGGAATACTGGGCTTCATCTGGCAGTCTCCTCTCTTTTCCTGGATTCAACCACTTTCAGCAATAGCCAGGAGAGAGGAAAGTGTAAGGACCAGCAACTCTATGCTATCCACATGTTCTAGGGGACTGGTATGTTGGTCAGATGACAAGATTCATCATCTTTAGGGCTCCTGTGCACCTGTGGAATAATGAAAAACCAGCTGAACTACTTTAGAGAGGTGCAATCATTGTTGTCTTCTGTGTGAGGTCAAACTGAGGTAACACCTAACGGTCCCAGGCTTCACTATGTATCCTGTTTAAGTTGTTTCTTTTCTACTGGTATTTGCCTTACAGGAGTCTGTTTCATAAGGAATAGCTGATTTATCTCATGTTTTTGTTACAGATTGCACTGATAAAGAATGAGGATAGAGTATAGTGTTTTGGGGATGTTTATTATGGTGCTCATTCTTTCTAGGGTGAAAGTGGAGAGGCCACTGATGATGAAATGGTGACTCGGAAGGCAAAAAGCTGTAAGGAATATCGTAATAGAAGTGGTTCAGATCCTCAAGATATTGATGAACAAGAAGAACCAGGTAGATAAATTGCTTCAGTACTTCGTAGTCCCTCAGTGTTTTGCTCAAAGTCCTTTTATATGGACATTTTTTATGATGTTAAAAAACATTTATAATATAAAACTACTTCTGTAGTTGAAATGTCAAACTGGTTTTTTCTCTGTAGATCAAAATATTATTATTAATGCTTCTCCATCTAACAACCTGCCATCAAGAAGAGCTCACTCTCTGACAGCATCTGGATCTCCTAATTTAGGAGCTACATCTTCACCAACAAGACCAGTCTCTTCTCCTGTAATGCCTTCAAACAAGAGCCAGTCTAGGTGAGGATAAAATCAATGCTTTGATTTAAAAAGAAAAAAGTTACTGTTACTTACTTTGATTTTTGTGCCAAACTGACAAAATCTCACAAAAACAATGCCAGAAATGTCATTAGCCTTTTGATAGGCATCTGAAACATATTGTAGAACAACATAAGATATTTAAGCTGAAATACCATGAAACTGAGGATGGCTTTGTAGCAAGTCCCTGAGCAGCATGCTTTAGTTTGTCTGTTACAGAACCAGATTGGAATGCTGTTCCAAAACTGCACAGATATGGGGTTTAACTCTTTCTACAGCTCTTCTCCAAAACTTAGTTACAGATGTCTTCTGTATAAGGAAAATCACCACAGATACGTGAACTGGAGTTCTGAGGTTTCTCAGCACAAGTAATTTCTACCTGGGGGAGTATTAACTTTTGCTGACATTCCTGGTGATGATTGTGGTACTGTGTCAGAGAATCAGAGGAACAGATCTGAAATCTTTCTCTTACAGGCCTCTCCTCCTTGAGCATTCATCCTGCTTCTGTCACTTAGGCAGTGCAAAATGTTATGCTCTGGTTGTGCAGTGACATAGTGCACTATTGTATTAATTAACTAATTGTAATAGTTATGGGGGTGGTGGTAGCAGTTGTAATGATAATATAACCACACTAATATGCTGGGGATGTGGATGGTACTTTAAGACATACAAGAAGACAGTCTCAACAGAGGCCTTCCAGTACCTTCTAACAGAATGAGTATTGAGGTATGAATCTTGGGGTTCCAGGAGAGCAGTGGTAAACAATGGAGGAGATTACTGCTGCTGGTAGAACAGTGTTTCTTAAGAGGTATGTCTTGTGTAATGGTTTATGTTGTGTATTTCTTAGGATTTTTTTACACTTAAAATGGCTGGATTTGGCAATAGGTATGAGTAGTAGAGCAACCTATGGGCATCTGTGGTTGGCTGCTTCTCCTTTTAACACTGCTTTCTGAGACTCTTACTGTGTTCTTTATTCTTTGTTCTTCACTGTTATTCACAACTGTGGGTCAAACATGCCAGACTAGGATTTATCTCTGTAAGAGATTTCTTTTTTTAAGGATTGGAACAGATTTCTTTTTACATTGAACTGGAGAAATACAGCTTTACTACCTCTGTAAAATACTCCTCTGTTTTGCAAATCTGCTTTTTGCTTTTATGCCAAAATAATTGCTATTCTCTAAATGAGATTAAAAGGCTCAACAGAGAACTCATGTTCCCAGGGGGACAGCTAGTGTTCCTTTAAATCCTCTCAGTCATGGGTTTCTGTACAGATCCCTGCACAGCTTAGCAATGTGGACCTCCCTGAGTTATGACAGGTTTTCCCTGGCAAAGTTGTTTGGAAAATCCACAACATTGCTTGGTAGAGCTCTCCTCAACTTGATATAACCCTTCTTGCTAGAATTTCCTCAGGATACAGCTGTATGGCTGTTTCTTGTTTCCTCAAAAGGGAATTACTTGTTTTGTCCATTACCTTGACCTAGTTTTCATGAGCCATTAAGAAACTCGGAGCACTGGAGGGAGTTTTATTCTTGGTATTTACCGTTTGGAGCCTTGATACGTTTGAATTGTGTTTGCCAGTGTTCATAGAATTGCAGAATGGTTTGGGTAGGAAGGGACCTTTAAAGGTTGTCTAGTCCAATCTCCCTGCAGTGAGCAGAGACCTCTTCAACTAGATCGGGTTGCTCATATCCTTATCCAACATGATCTTGAAAGTTTCAAGGGATGGGACATCTACCACCTCTCTGGGCAACCTTTGCCAATGCTTCAACATGCTTATTGTAGAAAATCTCTTCCTTATATCTAGTCTAAAAAGAGGTAAATACCTTAAAATCTTTTAAAGCCATCACCCCTTGTCTTGTTGCATCAGGCCCTGCTAAAAACGTTGTCCCCTTCTTTCTTATAGGCCTTCTTTAAGTACTGAAAGACTGCAATAAGGTGTCCCCGATGCCTTCTCTTCTCCAGGCTGAACAACCCCAAATCTCTCAGCCTGTCTTCATAGGCGAGGTGCCCCAGTCCTCTGATCATGTTGGTTGCTCTTCTTGGGATGTGCTCCAACAGCTTCATGTCCTTCTTGTGCTGAGGACTCCGGAGCTGGACACTACTCCAGGTGTCAGAGCAGGGTGGAGCAGCAGAATCATGTCCCTCTCAACCTGCTGGCCACGCTTCTTTTGGTGCAGCCCAGTGTTGGATTGGCCTTCTGGGCTGCAAGTGCACACTGTCGGCTCATGTCCAGCTTTTCATCCAGCAGCATGCCCGAGTCCTTCTGCACAGGGCTGCTCTCAATCCCATTGTCCCCCATCCTGTATTGATAGTGGAGATTGCCCCAACCCAGGTGCAGGGCCTTGCCCTTGGCCTTATTGAACCTCATGAGGTTCACATGGGATCACTTCTCAAGCTTGTTCAGGTCCCTCAGGATGCCCTCCTGTCCCTCTGGCAAGTCAGCTGCACCACTCCTCTTGGTGTCATCTGCAGATTTGCTGAGGACGCACTTGATTCACTGTCTATGGCACTGATGAAGATGCTGAACAACACTGCTCCCAGTATGGACCTCTGAGAGACAACACTTGTCACTGATCTCCATCTGGCCATTGAGCCATTGACCACTACCCTCTTGATGTGACCATCCAACCAATTCCTTATCCACTGAACTGCCCAGCCATCAAATCCATATCTCTCCAGTTTAGAGAGAAGGATGTTATAGGGGACTGAGTCAAAAGCTGTATGGAAGTCCAGGTAGCCTTTCTCTTGTCCACTGATGTAGTCGCTCTACCACAGAAGGCCACTGCATTTGTCAGGCAAGGACTTGCCCTTGGTGAAGCCATGCTGGCTGTCTTGAATAACCTCCCTGTCTTCCATGTGTGTTAGCATAGCTTCTAGGAGGATCTGTTCTGTGATCATTTTGGTAGCCCTCCTCTGGACTTGCATAGACTGTTCTTTTGTTCTGTTCCCAGGCACAGAGATGAGCCTGACAGCTTGGTAGTTCCCAAGACCTTCCTTTCTATTCTTTTTTAAAAATGGGTGCAGTATTTCCCACCTGACTACCATGACATTTCAAATATCATGGAGAGTGCCTTGGCAACTACTTCAACTAATTCTCTCACGATTCTGGGATGCATTTTATCAGGTCTCATAGACTTATGTACGTTCAATGCTGGAGGAGCAGTGGTCTACAAGCTGTATACCTGTAGACTGTGAGCAGTGCAGTGTTTTTCCTGGAATCTGCTGCCCTTAGCAGTGCACAAGCAAAGTAACCCACAGAGGGAACCCACAGAGACTGAACACAGACATCTTCTGTTTCTTTTTGCTTGATTTTTGCTGTTAATTCTGCAGACCCATAAAAATCATGTTATATATATAGCTATATTCAACCAGTATTGTCAGTTGCATCATATATTGAGATAAAATGAATCTAGCATCCTGGAATCACTTAAGTTGGAAAAAAACCTTCAAGATTATCTGGTCCAACCATTACCCTAACTCTACCAAGTCCACTGCTAAGCCATGTCCCTAAGCACCATATCTAAACAACTTTTACACACCTCCAGGGACCTCCATTCAACTGCCTCCCTGAGCAGCCTGTTCCAGTGCTTTACAACTCTTTCAGTGAAGAAATATTTCTTAATATCCAACCAAAACCTCCCCCAGTGCACCTTGAGGCCATTTCCTTTGGCCTATTGCTTGTTACTTGGGAGAAGAGACTGGTGCCCAGCTCTACACAACCTCCTTTCAAGTAGTTGCAGAGAGCAATAAGGTCTCCCATCAGTCTCCTTTTCTTCTGACTAAATAAGCCTCAGTTCCCTCAGCTGCTCTCCATAAGACTTGTGCTCTAGTCTCTTCACCAGCTTAGTTGCCCTTCTCTGAACCTGCTCCAGCACCTCAATGTCCTTCTTGTAGTGAGAGGCATGAAACTTGAAAAGTACCGCAGAGTATCCATTTTCCAAAATAACACAACACTGGGATGACCTGGATAATGAAATAACCTAGGAAATACAGGATCCACTGGGACTGGTCGTACGCACAGATTAGAGCCAACAGAGTTCTTTAAGTAAGGTTAGCATCTGGATTGATCTGGACTCAAACACTGACAAGGCTTCATAGCTGGAAGAGGTGTTGGACAGAAGCTGGTTGTGCACATTGGGTGAGTGCATGGTCCCTCTGTAGAATCCAGAGCTCAGGAGACCAGAGTGCTGTGGGTCCCATTGGGTTGTGCAGAAGCCTTTGCAGCACAGAAAGCTGAGCTGGCAAAAAATGATTGTCGGCTGCACTGTAGCAGCTAGGAGTAGGGAGAGCAACTAGAACTCTTTGTTCTTTTTCTCTTTACCTTGCCATATAATGTATGCATTGAGTTTATCTGACCAGTAAATTAGATCAGTATCTCCACCAAGTGAGAAGTGCTAAATAAAATAAAACAAAATCTCCTAAAGTAAAAAAAAAAAAAAAAAAATCCAAATACAATGATAGCAATTTAAAAAGAGGAGGACCTGGCTGTCTTTGTTGTACATTTTAAATACTAGTAATTCTTACATGTAGAGAATGAAAAACAAGTTCATATTGAGAATAAATCCTTGTATAATCTAGATGTTCAGATTATTTCCAAACACATGTAGCCTGCAGCTGTCTTCTGTGACAGAAGACAGATGTACATCCAGCAAATTCCCAAGTTCTTTGGAAATATAATGCCGTTTGTAAGGTGAAGTAAGCAGGGGAAAGGACAGTAATGCCACTGAGAAACAGGTAACAGGATATGAAAAATTAGAGATGGGGGAGTTTGCCAAAAAAGAGTAAACTACTCTTCTTATTAGCTGTATACAGGTTTAGTCCAGACCCTTACTAATTACAGGTTTGGTGGTAGTGGGGTTTTCTTGATGGTTTTGGCTTTTTTATAACAACCTGTATTTATTACCCATGGAACTATTGTGGAAGATACTCTTTAGCCATCAGATCCAATGAAATGCTGTGCATTATCATCTGCTGCTGGTCTTCCGTTTGGTACTCTACAGTTCCAGTCTGCTCTCTGGAGTCAGGAGACTTTCCTCGTCATGGTTTATTTTTCTTGTCTGATAAAAATGTTAGGGATTATTTTAGCCAAAAAGTTACATGCAGTATGTCAGTACTTGCCACAGTAATGTCAAACAAATTGAACGTTATCAGCTAAAGTAGATGGTATTTTTAAAATACTTTTAAATCACATTCTGTTTGCAATTACATGCATCCATCCAAGGCCAGGAGTGAACTGAGGAATCCAATCTAGAAAATCTATGTAAAAAGTTACCTGCTTACACTAGGTGACTGCAAATGTCTTTAGAAACACTGGACAGCAAGCTGGTCCTGTTTTTCTATCACAGATGCTAGAACTATTTGTACTGAACCTGATGACAGAATGCATAGATTAATGGATTTGTAGGTTTGAATGTTGCAGAGCAATAAAGTCTGACACGTGGCCACTTAGTCTGGCATTATGAAACAAGTACTGTAACTTTGGAGGTGAGTTATGATTTAAACTAGACAATTCTTGGTGTTTGTACTGGCTGATTAGATCACCCCCTTTTCAGGATGCTGGTGCTGGCAGATGCCATTCCTGCAGTGTGTGTTCATTAATTTAGGCTCTGGAAGAGGCTCAAGTGCTCAGCCCATCATTGCAAATTTGTACATGAAGTTCGCTTAAGGACTTGTTCATGCTGCTCACGGAATAGTTCAAGTTGGGGTCCAACTACACTTAGTAGTGTAAATCCTGTAGTAGCCTAAAGGTTTTGGGACTGGTTCTGCTTAAAAAAATTTGTTCAGCTGCACAATTTAAGTTAACAATTGCAGTTATAATGGAACTGTCTGGGCTTGCTATTTCTTAAGTCAACTAAGACAGTTAGCACTAAACAGCTAGTTGTTTCTGTGATCATTTTCTGCCTTTGCTCTCAAGAAATTTCAGTCTGCTTTCCTTCCTTCAGCCCACAAAGCTGAAAGGAGAAACTCTTTAGAACCTCATTTCTAGAAGGAAATGGCCTCCAGAGGTTATTGTCCAAACCTGAAATAAGAAGAGGACTGTAGCTTGACCTGTCTTTGAAGTATCTAATGATAACCCTTGACTGTTCTTAGGAAGTAGCTGGGAACCCATAGGCTGGGAAACGGTGAGGGTTGAGTGCCAGAAAGAGGAACGCTTATGCTTCTTAAAATCTGAATCTTAAAAATGCTCCCAGATATAAGAAACCCCAGATGCATGATGAAAATGTTTGTTTTTCTTGCCTGTCCAGTCAGAATATTCATATTTTGGCATGGAATTCCTGAAAGGTCTGCCCTATCAGTTTCTTTTTCCCTTAGCAAATCTTCAAATAGCTTCCACTACAAGCATACTGGCATTGTTTTCTATAAAGGGAAAGTGAGAATGTCATGCCATCTGCATCAGGTCCTTTTGCACATGGAGCGTTTTAAACAGCATTCATATATGTTATTACTTCTGGCAAAGTCTGCAGTTGTCTTGGGAGAGAAGAATAGCTGCTATAAAATAAAAAGATGCAAACTGTTGCTATGGATATTATAAGATCCTGCTTTATTTGCTTCTTCCAGGTATTGGTAATAAATGCATTAAGGAGAACACAAACTGTTAATGAAGTTATGTGTAATATTCAATAAGTAGAAGTTTAACGTAACAAACTACAGCAGTCTCTTTCTGCTTTAGCACATGGAGCAGCAGTAGCTGGCATGGCCGTGTTAAAGGAGGAATGAAGGGGTTTCAGAACTTCATGGTGTCTGATAGTAACATGACTTTTGTGGAATTTGTAGAGCTCTTCAAATCTTTCAGGTAAAATAATTTTTATTCTGTACTGATCTCATTCATCCAAGTTTATAGAAGAGCAAAAATTGAACTTTCTGACTCTCTTTGCAGCGTCCGTAGCCGCAAGGATTTGAAAGACCTGTTTGATGTCTATGCTGTGCCTTGCAACCGATCTGGTTTAGAGCCTGCTCCGCTTTACACTAATTTGAAGATTGATGAAAATAGCAGTGGATTCCAGCCTGATTTAGGTTTGTTAAAAAGGAAAATACAGCTGTTAGACTGCCGAATAACCGCATTTATTTGCCTTAAGAAAAAGTGTCTCTGTCAGTCTCATACAGAACTATAAATCGTAGCTTTAAGTAGAGAATTGCTGCTGTACCTCCACTAACATCTAGTTAGCAGGATGTTAGACAGAGTCTTTGTTCAGAAACAAAGGGGAGGAAAGGTATTCCTGCTTTATGTTAGCCATATGTCCTTGTAACCAGTATAGCAGAGGCATAGAATTTACTGCAGAGTGGCTGGGCCCAACAGAGAGATACGTATCTGGTTGCAGGAGCTCTGGAAGAGCTAAACCCCTGAGCAAAGGTAGGGAGGAGAAATGAGGAGGCTGGGCTCACTGTCTCATTTGGTTGTTTTTTTCCTAGCTGGGCTCCTAACAGATCTGCTTTATGTGGAACAAGGGGGAAGGAAACCTCTGTCTCACTTTATATTCCCTAATGACCATAATTGAAGTCTGGAGCTTTGTCCACTTTTATAAAACCCAGTCTTTCTGCCAAGCAACCTGTAGGGAGGGTACAGTAGAGTTGGCATACGGGACTGGAAGAAGATAAGCAGCAGTCACAGAGGAAGAGTATGAGGTTGTCCACAGTGAAGGGAAGGCTCTGAGGCTGTGCATGGTGCTGAGAGGAAGCAGAGGGCTCCTGGGTATCAGTGTGTAAGAGGGTGTGAATACATGTTAAAGGTTCCAGGATTTTGTTTATAGTAATTGAACACTTAAAAGTCTGCTCCCACTGTTCTCATACATGCTTAATACTCTTTCTACTACTGGCGAATAGAACCAAGATGGTTTTCTAATTTACTGTGTCAGTGCTAAAATATTCAGTCAAATATTCATGTGTACTATATATAAAATTATATTCAATACAGTGTATATATAATATGCATAATTATATCGCTTATATTTATATTTCCTTTTTTTTTTTAAGATTTATTGACTAGGAATGTTTCAGACCTTGGTTTGTTCATTAAGAGCAGGCAGCAACTATCAGACAATCAGAGGCAAATATCTGATGCTATTGCTGCTGCCAGTATTGTAACCAATGGTACTGGAGTTGAAAGCACGTCTCTGGGAATATTCGGAGTGGGAATCCAGCAGCTAAATGACTTCCTAGTGAACTGCCAAGGAGAACACTGCACCTATGATGAAATCCTCAGTATTATCCAGGTCTGTAATACAAACATCTTGGAATTCCTTTTACTTGAACTCTCGTTACTTCTATTTTCCCTGCTAAATTTCTCCATCTTCTAGTCAGAATAGCATATCTGTGTGGACATCTCTCTTCACAACGATGTTGTTACTGCAGTTTATTTGAATTTAAAATTTAATTCTGTTTTGATTGTGGGCCTTAAAACTGTGCAGATGCTCATAAAAAGGAAAAAAAAAAAGATCATGCAAATAAACAGTTTTATTTGCAATGTGTGATTTATCCAGAAGGGAATGACACCACTTGGAAAAAGTTTTCATGACAGTGCATTGTTTTCTCGTTGTCTGTGACCACCTTTGCTGGAGCTTAACCCTAATTTGGAACTTAAAAACCACCATTTCGACATATTTTTATTTTGTTGTAAAGAATTTTCCAGAGCAAACATGGACAATGTTTGATTATGGACAATGGCTGAAAGGATTAAAAAGTATGTTGAAAATTTTTAATTCCTCTAAACATGCATGATTAATATACTGCAAATTAAGCCCCCACTTAGCAGTTAACAAAGGCTAAAAACTGTATATCACAACTATCAACATGTAATATAAAATTGCAAAGCTTAAAAGACAGAAATTCTGAAGAAACATCAAGTTAGCATGCCATGAGTCTCTTTAATTCACAATGGTGGTGTCCTGTGCTAAAGCACGTGTCAAGGGTTAGGGTCTGGGTCAGTCACTAGACAAAAGACAGAGGAACAGAGTAAGTTCTGTCTTAACTCAAACCAGGACAGTACAATAGATAGGAGAAGGATGCCTGATTATAAATCCTTTTTAATTTCAGCTGACTCTGAACAGGAGGTCGAATTAGATGACCTCCCAGCATCCTTTCCAGCTTGAATGATTTTGTGATTTACAATTAGGAGATTAGTATGCTTGTTAAGTGATTTGTAAAGCAAGCATGAGCGTAGTGCAGGCACCTAATTACCTTATCCACAAAAAGAGTGGTTTTGCATGTTCACTGGTTAGTTTGATGAGCAGATTACATGATGAAAATATGAAAAAGACATATTTCTAATAACTGTTTTTAGATATCTCTTATATTTCTTCCTCTTCATAGAAATTTGAACCCAGTGTGAATATGTGCCAGCAGGGGCTGCTATCTTTTGAAGGATTTGCAAGGTAATTATTTATGTGTAATTATATATAAGTGTGTATATATATATAAAATTATTTAAAAAGATGACACCAGTATGTTGATACTTATATGACAGTCACAAAATACTCAGCACAACATAAAATTTCTTCACATTTTCTCACCTCTAGATTTTTGATGGATAAAGACAACTTTGCCTCTAAAAATGATGAGTCACAAGAGAATGCTGAGGACTTTCAGTTTCCACTGTCATATTACTACATAGAATCTTCACATAATACTTACCTTACTGGCCATCAGCTTAAAGGGGAATCCTCAGTAGAGCTCTACAGCCAGGTATGCAGGATTGGATTGTTGTGCAGTTTTCAGCCTGAACTTTGTTTGTTTAACTGGCAAGTTGCAGAAACATGACCTTTTTGCTTTGAAAATCTAAATGTCCTAAACCCCTGCTTGCAAAACGTTGAAAAACATGATGTGTGGGAAAGCTGCCTGTAAGCACAGTTGTGCTCAAATGCCTTTTCTTAGGGGAAAAAAAAAAGGGTTTAGTTTGAGATTCATAGCATTTAGACACCAGTCGGTCTGACCCAACCTGCTAAAATTAGACTTTCCCACAGGAAAGACTGATCTAATACTTTAGTTCATTGAGATGTCAAAAACGCTACTCAAATATTGTACATTGCACTGCAAAGACAAATTTCAAATAGAACAATAACCTCTAAAAACATTACTTCTAGGAATTATCTACATTTTTTTAGACTTTATGCCTGATTGATGTTGAACAGGAATAGAACGATTTTTCCCTAGGGCTTATGGTTCTCTGTGTCTGTATATATGTGTATATTTATCTGCTTACCAAATGCTAGAGAAAGCATCAAACTTTCTGTGAGTAGTGTTTTCATTACTCTGAAAGTTAATGACTCACCATTTAGGACTTACCTAGTGTCCCATGTGCTGCTTCACCTGGAGTTTTAAGACAGAGGGGTGAGGCTGTGTTAGAAAAGCCGCATAACATGATTGCATTGAATAATGCAGTTGCAAAGGAGGTTCCTGAAGTAGCACTGCATATGTGAGTATTCTGTTGGTAAATAGATTGGAAGTGACTGAGCTCAGCTGGCTCCAAAATTTACATGATGCAGAAAAGCTTCTTCCTGTCCCTCAAGCAGTTGTCACCAGAAGAGAAGGGGCACTTTGTTCTGGCTCTTACAGAAGTGGTGGTGTGCCAGCTATGAACACAACTGTCTGAAATGTAATTATTCAGGTTTTGAATGCAAGAATTAATTTTTTCTTTGTTCATGAATGTTTTTGCAGGAAATGGTTTTGACTGTTGAGATCTTTGTTTTCGGGAAAGTATGTAATTGTAGTACAGATAACCCTTTCAATGATAGGCATGCTGAATATTGATAGCAATAATAAGTTGGGCTACCAACGGTCAGGTTAGCTTATCTTTCCCTCCATCCTTCCTCTGTGCTTTCTTCAGAGTTTTTTGTATCAAGTGGGGCTTTCTAAAATAAATAAATAATAAATGGATGGATGGATGGATGGATGGTTGGCTACCTGGCTGTAAATTAGCTTAAAGATGGCTTGGCATATTTCCATTTGAACGATCCTCATGGAAGTTGTTCCTGAGACATTATTTTCAGACTTTCTTCCAGCAAACTGCAGATGCTATGCCCTTAAGCTTTCATGGTCGCAACCTGGTGCAAATTGCCATGTTGCTTTATAGCAGCTTTTGCAGGTAGAAATATGGAAATGTTTCTCTCCCTCACAACATTAAGCTGTATATGTAAGAACCACTTTCTGCAAACAGATTCCACGTGTCCTGTAAGATACCACGGATTTCCAAGCTTTATGGTACTTCTCCTAAGAACAAAAATGCTTTTCTAGTTTTCCCACTCTCTCTCAACCTAGACAGTACAATTAGCTGGGGACTGTACCTTCTGTGGGCTGTGTTTACTCCACAGAGACTGCTCTTTCCAGCACTTTGCTGAATCACTGGGCTTTCATTTAACTCTGCAATGTCTGTCATCTACTTTGATGGCACAAGACTGTAGCTTATTTGTGCTTACACTGTTCAATTGCTTTGAAGGTTCTTTTACAAGGCTGTAGAAGTGTAGAATTAGACTGCTGGGATGGAGATGATGGAATGCCTATCATTTATCATGGACACACTCTTACTACTAAGATCTCTTTTAAGGTATGTTGGTAATTGCACACAGAAACAAGAAATTAGAAGAAAATCAGTAACTTTAATGAAGGAAAAAATGTGCCTGTTAGAAAAGCACAAATCCTAGTGGGCTAATTTGTACTAGAATATGAACTATGGATATGTCAGACATGAAATCCTCAGTTGTAAACATTATCATTTTCAAATCAGATTTCGTAGCATATGTGCTGCGTTTTCTGTCTTTTTACTGTCAACACAACTAACAAAGGTAGCTCTTTACCAGTTCTGTCGTAACAACTTGCTAGTTTGGTCTGTAGGAGCTTGTTTCAAAAGCAAATTGTGGATTCTTTCTTGGTGGAGGGGAGAACAGATGCCTTCTTTTCTACCCTTTCAACTAACAGTAAATGAACCGAATGCTGCAGAACAGTCCCGTGTTCTCTCAGTGACCTTCCTTTCTCACAGGAGGTGGTTGAAGCTATCGACCGCAATGCGTTTATCACCTCCGACATGCCCGTCATCATATCCATCGAAAACCACTGCTCCCTGCCTCAGCAGCGCAAGATGGCTGACATCTTCAAGGTGAGCCATACGTTGTGATAAGCTGCTCTAAGCACGTGCCTTGGGGTTTGCCATAATATATCACGCTCTCTATATTTCAGAATGTATTTGGAGATAAGCTGGTAACAAAGTTTTTATTTGAGAGTGACTTTTCTGATGATCCCATGCTTCCTTCACCTGGCCAACTGAAAAGAAAAATCCTGCTTAAAAACAAGAAGCTGAAAGCCCATCAAACACCAGTAGATATACTGAAACAAAAGGTAAAGTCCTTCCTTAACAGCAAGCAGTGAGACCTAACTTTTGTTAGATATAATTCATTTGTGTTTGAATTTTTTGCCATTCCAATATGTACGGCAGAATAATCTAATGCGTATTCATACTTGGAAGACTCACAGTGGATTGCAACACTTTTAGTTAAGCAGACGAGACATAGAGTAATGTATAGATACAGAGTTACAAAATTTGAGTGTGTTTTAGTTTAAGACTTCATAATATTATGATTAGCACCACATGGCCGATGCGATAACATAAATAAAGTTTCACTCTGAGGCTGTAATGCTTGCTATTCATGTTTGTTGAGAAATAGTGATACACATTGAGTATGTGTGTATATATACAGTACATAGTGATTTTTAGTAGAATTCTGCTTTGTTTCTTTTTCCTTATTCAAGCCAAGCAAATACTCTCTTCCTTACTCTCTTTCCGGGGGTACTCTGCTGTTCAAGTAGTGCTTATACCTGTACGAGAATGTTTTTGGTTTCTAAAAATTAGGGCTGCATCTCTGGTAGTCTATGGTTAGTGAGCAATTAGATTCAATCCTTGAAAACTAATTGCTTTTAACCAAAATGTTAACACAATTGAAATAGAATTGAATTCTTGTACCAAAATAAGTCAAATAAGATCATACCAGTGTGTAGATATTCTCCATCTTTTAAAAATGTTTTAAATTGTTTCCAAAACAGCCTCAGTCTGGAAAAGGGCAGTCTTTCTCTGGATAATGTTCGTAGTGGACATTTCCTCATAATTAGTTTGGTTTCATATCTGATGGGGTGTTTTTCTATCAATAATCAAGTTTTCTTTATATTCAAGCCCTTAAAATGGTATGTTTGTTTGAGCTTAACAATCTTATTTATTTTTTATTAAATATGTTCAGTACTTTCATATAACTAAAATAAGATGCAAACAGTGATGGACACTCTTTTGCTTTTTAAAAATAATTGCCAATAATGTAATAAGTGGTTCTGTTGCTGTAGGCTCACCAGCTGGCGCATATGCAGGCACAGGCTAGCAATGGTGCTAGCAACCCCACACCCACCAATGAAGAGGAAGAAGATGAAGAGGATGAATATGACTATGACTATGAATCTCTCTCTGATGGTAACAATATTTATTTGTTTATTTACTTGTTTCTTACAGTGCTACTGTTAGAACTGTAGCCATAAGGCGTATAAATACTCAAGGTCAGGGGTGATGTAGGTAAGTTGATCTTACCCTGTCAGAAAGAGACGTACTAAATGTCCTTGCTGGCACTTTAGTGTAGTAGTCTTTAAAACTATGAAAATAATCTGACTGTGTAGAGGACTTCAGTGTGATTTTTAACTCCAGCAATGCTGTTTTAACTGTACAATGTATGCTAAATTGTAGTATTTATAAATGATAGTTTACAGGATTTATATTATGCAAAAATGATTGTGTTCATAGTGTACTGTGTCTTCATTCACCTGTATTATCACTCCTTTCATAAGGAGTTTAGACCCCTGAAAGCTCAAGTTGCACAACAGGCTTAGCCCTTTCATCTGCATGACTGCCATTAACTTGACCTGAGATGCAGATTCTCCAAAGTCCTCCTTGATGACTGTCTAATCCCAGAGACCCATCAAATACCTATTTTAGTTACACTTTCAGCATCAGCTGTTCACTTCATACAGGAAGGTAAGGCCACTGAGTCCCTGGCTTGTTCAGCTAAGATGGTTTTGTTAAAGCTTTAGCTGCTCATTGCAAAACTGGCAAGGCATGCCTTACTGACTTACCTGTGCAGTTCATTTGCTATTACACTTCAGCTATCCTTTAGGAATGGGCAGTTTAGCATAAATCCATCTTTGGGAGCAGTTTATAGATTGGAAGTAATGATTAACATGTCAGGGGTGATAAAAAATACTGCTGTTGTTCCATCACTTCCTTAGCTCTCCAGTTTAGTCAGTCATTTTTGATTCAGCTACAGATGAAAGACAGAATGTGCCACACTGAGGTGGCTGAGCTGAAGTCATGCATCTTTTTTTGCTTCTCTTGCTGTGGAGCTGGTAGATCCTCATGGAGCAAACAGCTGGAGTCAAAAACATTTGATCCTCTCAAGTTTTATCAAAGGACATTTGTCAAAACCCAATGCATGGATTGAACAAGCTGGATGCATCTCAGTGGGTTGCTTGGTATTTTTAATGAGTAATTTTCAGAGACTATATCAAAGTAGGTCGCAGCGTATTTACCCAGTGAGAGCAGTGATGGTCCAAGTGATATCAAGCTCTTCGAGCACTTGAGTAAATGCTGCACCATTGTTAAACTACATAAATGGGTCACCAAACTGACAAATGGGACAAAAAAAGTTACAGGTGTGCTTCAGTGTAGATAAACTTTATGTATCATGTAATACATTTAAGGGGAAAAAATGCTGCTAATGTGATTCTAAGCTCAGCAGTGGGAGTATTAATTTGGGACATCATGGAATTATTGAGTTCTCTGGTGTGCAGTGAATGCCAAAAGATGGAGACCATCGGGAACAGCAGTGAAAGCAAAACATCTTTTTGCTTCAGTATAGACTTTAATAAGCCACAGCATGAATTCTGTGTCCAGTGCTTGCCCCCATATCTCAAGAAGAATACGAGAGCTAAGGAAGTCAGAGAAAAGGGCAAACAGAAAAGTCAGATGAGTGTGGTGGTGGCCTTGCGCAAGTCTGCAAAGGCTGGAATTCAGTAGCTGGTAGAGAAGAGGATTGAAGGATGAATTTAGGCAGGTTTACTAAATCATGGAGTGGTGGATAAGGGGAGTACAGAACCATTACTCATTAGATCTAGGAGGTGCTCAGTAAAACAAGTGGAAGATCAGTCTAGAACAGGTAAAATAAGGTATTTCTCTGCTGCCATGGGAAACTGCAGAGGGAAACGGTATCAGCAGGTTGAAAAAAAAGGATTGGACAAATTCATGGATAGGTTTGTATGCAGATATTATAGATGAAAATGTACAGTCCAATGTCCGTACTATTCAGCAATTTTGGATGTTGGAGTGGTACTAGGGAAGTGGACCATGACTCGTGGCTGGATGCTCTCTTTAAACAGCATCTCCCATTGCCACAGTCAGAGAATGTGGAGCTCGATGGAGCATCGATCTGATGCCGTTGGGCATGTTCTCCCAGGTAAACAGTCAAGTGCTTCACTCACTGAACCTTTAACTCTAACAGGTACTTGCTTAAGTTCTAGGTGCTGCATTCAGAGAAGATGTAAGGCTTAAGCATGTCCTGAAATACAGGACTTCTTTCCAGTTGGTCTCTTAGCTACTTGCTTCTGTGTTTAATGATTTTAAAAATGGTCACAAAATTAATGAAGCAGCTCAGAACCTGACACTGCTTGTGGGATAGCACTATTATTTACAGTAACATGAAAATATACAGGTTTGATGCCAGTGCAGCCTTCAGTGTTTTGACAGAAAATTGGCCTCACTGGCTATTTAAGAACACACCTCGTGTGGGACAGTGTTGAGATAGTGTAGAAGTAAAGTGCTGTGAAAAACTTAGATCCTTGTTAACAGATTTGCCAGGAAAATATTGCAAGCTAACTGCAGTTAGTAACATTTGAGCAGTGTTAAGAGGTTTGACAAATCTGAAGCTAGAAGGAAACATTCACATTTTCCAATACACGAAGGGATCTGTGGCATGATTTACTGCTCTATTACAATGATTATTCTTTAGGTTCTTTAATTACTTTAATATTTTGGCAAAACTAATCTAAATAATGATCTGTAAACTTTCTAAATATTTTTGGGGTTTATTTTCCTTACTGATACAGCAGGTTTGTGTACAGCTAATAGTTTTACAACTTACACTTGATTTTCATTTCTCTGGCTGTAAATCTTAATTTCCTTTACTCTTATTCCCTCTCTGACTCCGTTTCCCTGTAGCTGATGTCCTTAATGCTTCTCCTGCTCCTAACAGCCAGGAAGGTAAAGGCCATTTGGTTGAGCATTTTAACTGCATGAAATCAGCACTGTATCTCCAGCCTGTTAAATGTGACAGTGTGAATATATGGTTCCCACTTTGTATTAAAAGTGCAATCAGATATTTTTATATGGCATTGTTAACTGGCCAGGAACTGTTAGAAGGCTGCATGTTTGGCACTGGTTATGCATAAAAAGAACATGGTCAAAGCATCAGGAATATCAAGAATGAAATAAAACCATTCCTTTTGTGACAGTTACTATATTTTGGTCCAGAAAGTCCAAGTTACTAGGTGTATTATTCTTTGATAAATACGTTACTTTTGAAAAGGAATTTCTGTAGAGGTGAAAAATACTTGTTCATGATGAATCTAAGGAGAGGAAAGTCAAAACTTGCTGTACAAAGACATGTACATGTCTGTTGTGGTTAATTGTGTTTGGACTTGAGCGAATCTTAGTTGTTCAGGAATGTCAGTTGTTTTCATATGGCAAGCTTCTTTCATTAGAGGATTTTACTTAAAGTGTATTCTGAGCACAAAAGGATGGGCTTTAAAAGAAGTGCAACGTATTAACTAAAGCTGAGCATAAATTTTTAAAGTAGTAAGTTACTACTAAAAGAGAATGCTTTGACCAGTAAATGCATTATTTTGGCATCTGGTTATTCAGATAAGATTCACAGCTTTGTCCACAAATATTGTTACTTCCAATTAAATTTCCAGTTGAAATTGCTTGGCTTCATGTTTATTAAAATACCATTAATTTTTAGATAACATTCTTGAAGACCGACCTGAGAATAAATTATCAAGTGACAAACTGCAGTTTGAATATAATGAAGAGACTGCCAAACGAATAAAGAAGGCTGATTGTGCTACTTACAGTAATAAAGGAAAGGTAGTTCTGCTTTTTCCTCCTTACGTTTCAGCCACACTTTGATAGAAAATCACCTCAAGGATTTGATCAGTTTAGGTAACTGAGACATCACATTGCAAATGCACTTTAATGAAGACAAATAATAGAAAGCATGGAAACACACTGGAGAAAACAGCTTAAATAGAACAAGCACTCAACATACTGTTCAAGAAAAGTCCTCAGAGTTTATTGTATATAAAGGCTGTTTGGCTGAAAATTTTAACTGTCATTGCTTTCAAAGACTTAATTGAAGCTAGATCCAGAAGTTTGATTAAATATCTAATTTACATTACCATGGATGAAACTGAAGATTTAATCTGAATCTTCAGCATCTTTGTGTATCTAAATAACTTTAAAATACTGCACTATAAGATAGCCATATTGCCTTTTATTAAATCACATCAACTGACAACTGCACTAGTGCATTGCTGTTTAGTAAATTGTAGTTTCTCCTGAACATGGATGTTTTTTGTCTAAACGTAGAACTGACTCAGACTGAGGCCTTTGCACACTACTGTAGTATTAGTAACAGGTACTGATGCATAAACCTGCACATGGAGATGTGTTAGATGAAGTCAGCAAATCATATAGGAAGAATGAGATAAAGGATTTTATGGACGTAAATGAAATATGAAAGATTACTTTCACATTCAGTAATTTTATTTTTATATGTTCTTGGAATTGTTGCTTAGGTTTATGACATGGAGCTGGGTGAAGAATTCTATCTTCCACAAAATAAGAAGGAAAGCAGACAGATAGCCCCAGAGCTATCAGATCTTGTCATTTACTGTCAAGCTGTAAAGTTCCCTGGTAAGTACACTGCCCTGTTTAATTGCTTTAAGCTTTCTAGTTCTTGGTGACATTATGTTTATGTTTTGAATTAGTTAGTACAAGCATTTTCAAACTGAAGTAGTCGAGGAGCTTTTTTTTCTTGATGATTTGGTAGTCTACATAATAATAGCTCCTGGCTGAGAAGTAGTATTCATAAATTATGTGAAGACATGTTGTTTGTCATATTAAACTGTTTACAAAAGTGAAATTTGCCAGTCTTCACAACTTAGAAAACTGCTTCATTGCCATATGACAGTCGACAGAAAGCTTTATCTTAAGAGCTCCAAGTTTCCATGTAAGGACATACTGAATTAGGAAGGAAAATATTCCTAAAACCTTGCAGGAAGAGCTTGTCACATTTCTTTAAGTGACTTCAGTTTAGTGTGTTTCACCTTTGCCTACAGTTGCATCTCCTGTTCTTCCCAAAATGGATAGGAAAGGAGCCATTTGGAGAGGATAAAGCAGCTGTTTCTTGGGGTGCATGAGGACAGCTGATTGCACACTTATACACACTCTTTATGGAAGGGGTTAAGGAAATAGGAGGGTCTTCTTTTTTACAGTAGGAAGAATAATGTTTGCAGAGGAAAAGGAGAGGATTTAACTGAAGAGGAGATCACTGATAGTTGTTCAGTACTGAAGCGTGAGGTTGGGTATGTTTTGGCTTGTACCGTGTACATAAATACTTTTAAATTGAGAATTTATTGTTTGTTGATGTGTTTAATGGTTTGAATGAAAAACTTACTTTTTAATGGAATGGTTCTCTCTGGAAAAGTTAGCAAATCTGCTAACCCATGATCTTACACAAATAGAACTATAATCAGATTAGAGAATCTAACCAAACATAAAATAGTGTCAAATAGGCAAGATAAACATGCTGGAAAATGGAGAGACATTCTTTTATAATCTTCTATAATTTTAAGAATTGTAGGTGTCGCTTGTAAAAATAACTTTTAAAAATTCAAATCTGATGTGCTTTTAAATGAAATCTGCAATGAGATATCTTTCAAGTAAAATATTTTCTTTTAAAGAATTATATTCAATAGTAAACGGTGATAGTTTAAGTTGTTCCAAGCATTTTGACACACCAAGAAGTCCTGATGTTCTAGGAAAACAGGAGGATGCTGCCTTCTCTGCAAGGCATGTAGACTTGCATGGCCACCATGCTACTGATTAGATTCCTCTGCTCAGCTGGAGGGCACAGACATAGTGCACTGCCATACCCCAATATTGTCCATTAATAATGAGAACAGGGTTGGTAGATCCATGACTATGTACCTGTATTGACCAGGTTCCTAACCACCTCAGAAAATGCAAGAGTTTTAAAAATAGGGAGGGCAGAATTATTGTCAGTGGCTGATCAATGCTGTAAATACTTTTTATCCTGTCTTCATATATTTCGATTCTGTGTATACAGTTGCCTGGGTCCCTGAATGTTAATCACTGATTTGTGACTATAAAAAAGGACAAGGACCATTATGTTCACTTATCTTAGCCTACTGAGTAACACAGACTTCCCTAAGTACTCCCTGGTCAAAACAGTATTTATCATGTGGAGAAAATAACATTTATTGTTTATAAAATCTCTGGTAACAAGGAACCCATCACAGTTCTTACTGTTTCAGTGGGTTTGACCCTTACAGTCGTTGCTTAACTTCAGTTTCAGTCTGTTGGATATCATCAGACCATTATCAAAGAGGCAGAAGATCTGTTGTTTTGGGTCACCCAAGCATACCTGAGCACAGTACCCCTATAACCCACTGGCACATGGCTCATTGCCTTAGTGCTGAGGATCCTTACACAATGAGTAGCGAAAGCTGAGTACAGAAAAACAGGAACTACACAATCAAATGCAGAGAGCAGGGAGTCACCTGAGCTAACCAGCATGAAATTCAGTCTCCATCTCCATTGTATCAGGCTTTCTGCCCCTATGGAATCACTTTTCAAGAACTTAAGAGGACATAAAAAGGGCAACCGACGTACAAAAGTACTGTAAATTCTTTTTCAAGGTCTGCAAACCCTGAAATAGGCTAACTGGCTGTTGGTCTGAAACAGGCGGTGAGAAGGTGACAGTTACAGTTCAGCCTGTTACTTTAGCGTGGTTGAATAAGAAGGGTGGGGAAGTTTGCCATTCTCTGGACTGAGATCCTAAAAGCAGTAAAGCAGTGTTTATATCTAACATGAAAGAATGGCACCAAATTCTGTAGCTTGAAGGACATGGCACAGGGCTTGCAGGGAAATAGAGAACATTTACATTGTGGTAGTGTGATAGGATCTATGTGCAGTATGGTAGGATCGCAGCTGGTCCTGCTTTGACCAGAGTGTTGGACCAGGTAATTTCCAATCCTTGACAACCTCCAGTGGTTTATGAATTTATGATTCTTTGAAGTCAAGTTTAATTTGGAGATAAAAATGGAGCTTGCATCTGGGAATAGGTGCGTCACATGCAAAGCATGGCCATGGGAAAGACTGAAAGAAAGCTTCCAGTTGTAGCTTACCCTATGGCCATCACATTGGGTGCAGTTAACCCTGGTGTTTTGCATTGCAGGTTCTGACTGATGAGGTTAGTCTGTTTCCTCAGTGACTGTCTCCACAACAGTATTTTGAAACCTGGATCTTGCCAAATCCATTTGATCCATTGAAAACTGGGATTAAATAGGGCTGGAAGTACACAGCGCACAACTCCTCATTCTTCTAGTCGGTTCATATTCCTTGATCTCAGTTTCTACCATCTTTAGTGTTTTATGTGTGTGCTTTGGCCCAAAGAGACAGTACATCTCCAACACTGAAAACATCTGTGTGTATCCTAAGTTTTACTAATCCAAGCAGTTCCATTGAAACTATCCCCATAATTTTACTAAGTATTTGTAGACATACTGTAACCATAAAGATTGAGAGCTGAAAATTTACAGCTGTGGACAGACTTCAGTAGAAGTGAGTCCAGTGTATCTTCTTTGTAATTTACATTTGTAGTTGAAATATTAGTATTAAATCCAGAACTGTCTTTAGACAAGTGTGAATTGATGTGAATTCATGAGGGTTGTTTTACAAGTCACAGTCAGGCAAATAACAGTGTATTGGCTTTGTTATATTTTATATCACAAGAACATCTTTGGTCTCGGAGAGCACCCCCACCCCACTGCTTTGAGTGTCAGAATAACTGTTGTGCATTTTGTTATGCTCTAATTCTCATCTGCCCTGTGCTCTCTCCAAGCCAACAGAATGAAACTGACCTTACAGGGGATTAAGGCTGTTTACTTCACTGGGATTTAGGTCATGACTTTAATGATTATTTGGCTAGAATGCATATGTTTGAATAATAGTTGGACTTGAGCTTTCCAGTTCCACTTTTAGTACATATTGGTCATTAGATGCTTAACAGATTTTGCACACCTACCATATTTCCCATCATTGAACTACAAATTCTAAACAGAAGAGAACTCTAAAAATGTCTTGAGGTTAAACTGTTTAATCAACAGCATTTGGGCTTTTTCCTTTACATTAGATCTTTAAATCATATCCTTGCATTTATTTAGCTATTTAGGTATCTTATCCTAGATGAATTCCATGATACTCACTACCGTACAGATTTATTGCTTCTGTAGAAAGGAATTATTATTTTTTTTTAATTATTCTAAGGATGAATACATTGGCCTGTTACTGCAGATATTTTTTTAGTATTAATTAGGATCATTTGGTAATTTGAGACAGAGCCACTACCTTCCTCGATCCAAAATATAAAATTGAGAGAGGTTATATCACAGAGAGATAACTGTATATTTGATTGCTTCATATAAGTTTTTATATACATTATACATATGTATAAACATACATAGCATGTACATATGTAAAGGCATGTCTGTTAGTAAGGATATTACAATTATATCAGGGAGAAAAATGCAATGCTTGCCTTCAGTACTATATAATGGGAGTATTCATCCCTTCAAAAATAATGTAAAATATGATGGAAAATGTCATGCCCTCTTGGTCATGTTTTTTGGCTCATTTATTTTACATTTATGGGAACAGGCTTGTCAACTTTAAACCCATCTGGCTCTAGCAGAGGAAAAGAAAGAAAAAGCAGGAAGTCCATTTTTGGCAACAATCCTGGCAGACTGAGCCCTGGGGAATCAGCTTCTCTTGCCAAAGCATCTGGAAAAGGTAAAGTTAGCATCTTCTTTCACCAGTCACGTGGAATGACTCTGTAATCCAACACATGCACCAAACCAAGTTTTTAAGGATCAAATACTTTACAACGTGTAAGATGTTGAACTTTGGAATGGTTTTTTGTTAGCACAGCAGCTATTACAGTAACACTATTATAACTGAAATCATAGAATCATAGGGGTTG